TCCTAGTAACATAGATCTCAAACAGTAGCAGATCATTGGTATTATATATTGGCTATAATTGGTAAAAAAACATGTTTTTCAGATAACTCGTTGAAGCTAAATAAACAAATGAATGTTGGGATATCATGTTAACTGACCACGTCCATATACAGGCACTTCAAAAAAGTACTGAGATACTCAAGGTCGCCTACTCCATCCTGCCTCAAAATCGATTTTAGTTCAGGAACAAGCAACTCGCATGAAATTTTCAGGATGTGATGGGACTATCTTGGAGAGGCTGTAAGAAAATTCTCAGCTTTATAGGAAGATGTTTGAGGGAAGTATTCACTAAACAAGGATCAACAATAGGTCACTTGGTAGCCCAACAATTCTCTGTGGACCTTCATTCTATATATTTAGTTTTTTTTTGTTTGAAAGAGCATGTCAGGTTGCAAGGCATGACCGAGCCTTGAAGCTATTAAAATTGTCACCCCTCTTTTTCCGTTTGTTAGGCTATCAAGTAAACTATTGTCGATCCTTGTTTGGTGAATATCGCACTCAAATGTCTTGCTATAAAGCTGAAAATTTTATCATAGCCTCTTCGCGACAGCCCCATCATATCCTGAAAATGTCATGCAATTTGCTTGTTTCTGAACTAGTATTGAGCAAGGTTTGAGTAACAGTTATTTTTTTTTTGTTCTCCAATTAAAACCCTCTTATATATGTTATAATTAGATGCATGAATCTTATGTTTTCTTTCATTCGTTGGTTAAAAACTAATATTTTGTTATAACAATCACAGTTTATCTAAAAGAATTTCATTTTCTTCGATAAAAGCGAAAAATTAGAAAGATTTTGATTAACGTATATTTTTTTTTACAAATAGTATAAAAATCGTTTTTATATATTCAGAATAGCAGAAAATAAAAGAAATTGAGAATATAGACAAGGATGCAAATAAGAAATGGCTTCATGTTTTGTAGAGATGAATTTAAAGAAGTAATATCTCTATACAAGATACAATAGTTTTTTTTCTGTTATCATTTGCATTCTTTGCTATTCTTCGCATCTTCGATTTTATAAATGTTTCATAGCGTTAAAGTAGAGTAAGTTTGTTAGAGTGTATCAAAATCTACTTATTTTACTAAGATTTGAATATTAGCAAGTGAATTTTTATAAGAATTTCTCTAACACAATGTTCAACTAATTTGTAGAAATACATTGATTGATTCAGATACTGTGTGTCAAAAGTTGCTTTTAATATAATGTCGTCATTTTGTTTTTACATCAAACCATAAGACGCGATGATGATTTTTTCTTTCATATATTTTCTATTCGAGTAGGTAAATGAAAAAGTAATACATCGCCCACATTAAATGAAATATTGATCATTGATTGGATGATGTTTGCTATAACATCTAAATCAAATTCAATTATTTGAAAAGAACACAACTGATCAATAAATTTTATTCTAAAGATTTTTGAAAAGATTTATTTTGTCATTTTTTTAAAGAAGAGAAAAGAAAGAATCTTGAAAACTAATATGTCTTGTGACATTTTTCTCCATTATTTCATGTTTCAAATATCAAAATTTTAGATTTCTTCGATACATTATTTTAAACTCGAGTAGTCTTCGCAATGTATGCTAATACAAATTTCGACATTAATTATTTAATCATAAATATATCTAAAAGATTTTATTTGTTTAAATTCTATTCAATATGTATGGCGTGATGTGAAAGCCAACACTCAATAACACATTTTCTCATTATCTATGGGATTAACTCCAAAAGATTCGTTTTTATTTCACTGATATATATTCATTTCTCTTATAGAATATTTTAGAAATGGCTGCACTTTCAAACGCTTCGCTAATTGCCGAGAAAGATAATGTCGTTTCTCCATTTAGATTTATAATCTTTTTGATTATTTTTATTATTAATTAAAAAAATTCAACATTGCCATGCAGTATGTATTTGTTTGAAAAATATTTTTCAGTATGTGTTGTTCTTTTCTCGTGATTTAGGACTTTCTTCATCTTTATACATCAGATCAATTAGATAAGAAAGCATTTATTGAATATTACAAAAAATACATCCACAAAAAGAAAAAAAATAAATAATTCGAGTAAATCAACAGGTCTTTCTCTTTTTGTTAAATATTATTTTATTATGATGTTTAGTGATATTTTTAATATGATAGACATAAACAATAATGGCACAGTTGATTTTTAATGAATTTTCGATCTTCATAGTTTTGATAATTTGTATTTGTCTAAAATTTCGTATGATCGTGCTGGTGTTATTGATCGAAAAAAGTAATCAACATCCAAAAGAAACATGCTCAGGAGATCATTGCTAAATTCTCTATTAGTGGTGATAAGAAGCTGAGTACAGAAGAATTTATTAATGGGTATATTTTATTAATCGAAATCTATTTGCACATTTAATCAAAAATATCCTAATGCAAAATTGAAGTACAAATAAATACAAAAATGCAATTATACTTTTATGATAAATTTTATTGCTCTTTTCGTTTTTTTTCTATCAATTTTTGGTGTTTGACGAATACTCAAAAAAACTTTACAATATATATTATTGACACTTTCAACCAAATATTGCCTCTCGAGTGTATACACCCTCATTCAAACCAGTCTCAATACTTTATTAAACTGTATATTTTACAAGAACAAAATCATGCAGTGTTAATTATTGTATAAATGAAAGTAAGAAATTCAGGAAAGAACATCAAAAAGTTAGTCAAGATGAAATGATTAATCGTTCATTCAATGTATATTCTGGAATATGAAGGAAAAGGAACACATATCAAGAATTCTATCGTTTATGAAAAGCGGAGCGCCGAGTGATGCATGAATTAAACAAGTTCATACATACTTTTTGATATGATACATGGACACCTTCCATCTGTTGATGGCTAAAAGGTTCATTGATGAACCATGATTGAGCTAATCGATAATAATACACACGTAATAGACCACTGAAAAAATGTGTTGATTCATGATTTTGAACATTATCATAACAACTATTCATAATACTATTAAGAAATAATGTACCTATAAGAATAGAAATACAACGAAACAACAAATTCAATCGATGAACTCCTACCACTCATTGTCAATGGTGCATAATAACCAGATTTTCTTTTCATAGTTTTATTCGGTAACTGTTGATAAAATAAGTTGACCATTAAGCATAACCTAAAGAACATCACCAATTTTAATCTGTTTATCTGAAACATAATTTACTGTAATATTATTTTCAATGATAGGAATTAAGTGAAGTTCAGTAAGACTAACGCTGTGTAATAGTACGAAACATAGCTAAACAAAAGACAATGTTAAATGTATGTGATGTTTGTTTTTACCTTGTGAGAATCCATTTTTGTCAAGCATCATTATCATTTGAGTGATGAAAATGGTGTACTATCTGTTGCTAATAATTCAGCACCAGGTTGAACTTGTTCAATGAAAATTTGTTTTTGTTTGGTCAAGGTAATTAGGGTATCATTAGTAAAATAAAATGACTCTGGGGAAAACGCGACTGACGCAGACGATTTTGATGAAATATATCTAAGGTAGTTTAGTTTTGGCTGAATTCTTAAAGCGAAATCTCTTTACTCCTTTTCGAACGAAATATTAGTTGATGATTTGAGAAAAATGCGATTGAAAAAAATTCTATGTATAACACTCACTTTTTGGCTCATTTCTCGAGTTTTCATTATTAAAATTGATGACATTAGATTCAGTGAGGGTTGAAGGTAGTCTCACAACAAAAATACGCTTAAGCGATACGAGTATAGTACAAAAGCAGAGTCCACTCATGTTAAGCATTTTTCTCTCTGAAACAAATGTAGTAATACATGGTCTTCACTTATAACATACAACTTTATATACCTGAGTACGGTTGAAAGATGGAAAAGAAAACATTAAATTCTGAATGCAACCATTAAGCTTTCGTTTATTTTATTACACAAATCAAGCACATTATTTTTTTTCCTCCATTGATCCATCACTTTGTTTCGACGTTGCTAGGTTTCGATCGATAATTGATCGGAGATGTCCATAAATCTGTCTTTCGTTTTTTTGAGGAATATTTTCTTTCATACTCTATCGAATGTATTTTCGATGGATTCTTCGCCACTGTACATCTCACTTAAAAAAAATTAGTAATCTTTCCTACTGTTTTCATATTTCCTTTCGATTGTTTGTTGTTGATAGGGTATCGTGTCAGAATAAAAAATGTCATCTACATTCGCTTTATAAATGTATAACATTTTTTTTATGAATAGTTACCTGTGCATTACTTTTTGTCTACATCTAGAAGAACATACTAATCTACTCTAGACTAATGAGAATATTCATTGAAAAAAAAAATTTTCTAACTCGAAGCCTCAATCGACATTAACAGAAGTATTTCTTCTTTCATCAATAGATAATAATGGGTAATTCCCAATGCTATTATGCTTCAGCCGGATCAAGTTCCAGTATTTCATGCGTTTCATATTCGATGGATAGTATAAAGTTCAGCACTGGTGCTATTGTTGGTATCGTCATTGGTTGTGTTGCAGCTGTCGTCCTCATTATCATAACCATTATTCTTATTATTCGTTGTCTAAGAAGAAACAATACAGAGATGGTGTATTCTAACCCATATCCCTATCCTATGGACAACCAACAACACTAGCCACAACAGCAACAAATGCATATGCAAAGCAGCTCACCTTCATATGCTGAAGCAACTGCAAACAAAAATCAAAATAAACCATAATAAGTGTTTATTGAATATAAATAATTAGTAAAGAGAAAATAAAACTTCATTCATATTGTAATAGGGTATGGGTGTAGATGTACGTGCCGTTCAAGAGAAGACCATAATCCACACCCACATTCACACCCTACTACAGAAATTAAAAATTCAGTTTGCTTTTAAAAGACATATGAGTCTAAAGAATATTTTCTTACCAATAATTAAAGGTCAGGATGAAAAAAAACTTAATAAGAAATTAGTATATTCAATTCCATGTTCAAATTGTAAAGCAGTATACATAGGTGAAACAAGTAGAAATAAAGAAACTCGTATGAGAGGGCATAAAGCAAAAATAATATCACTATCATCAGATTCTAAATTTGTAGTACACATTATAAAATATAAGCATAAATTTGAACTTTCAAATGTTGAAACTCTTGCACATGAAACTAATTGGAGAAGGCGCATGATAAAAGAAAATATTCTAACTAATAGATCTCAAGGAAACGCTATAAATGATATAAAACATATACTTCGAGTTTTTGGTTAACAATATATTTAATTATATTATTCGAATAAAAAAAATTTTTACTCTGAAACTACTACTTTAATTTATATTCTTCTTCTTTCTCAATAATTCTTTCATTTATTTCATTCTTTTCTTATGTAATAAAACATTAAATGTCAATTTATATTTCTCTCAATTTGTAAACCTTTTTTTTATACTTGAAGTGCAAAACCCTCGAGATATTGAATCTAATCATTACATCTCATAAGGCGTCTACTGAATCAATATTTTTTCAAAATGCTCTATTAGCTATCGTGATTAACTTTTTTCTTAAAAATATTCTTAAAATGATTACTTTCCGATAAGGATTATGAAAAATATTTTAAAAAATCTAGGTATACATCAATATATTGTATCATAGATTTATGTGTGAATATAACCATCTGATCATAGGCGTTTGCGGCTTATAAAATAGTCGTTTTGATTCTCATTGAAATACATCGATCAACTTTGTTTTTGTGATTAGACTCAATAATGGCAATGTATTCTGTTGGTATTCTTTGTATTGTTTTGTTGACACTTGCTGCAATAACAAATGCTGTCCGTTGCCCACCATTGATGTGCGCGCTTAACTGTGATTATGGTTTTCAGTTGGATTCACGTGGCTGTCCAATGTGTAGGTGTAGTACATTGTCTCAGGATTGTGTTGAACCTATTAGTGGTTATAATTGTGGCTCAATTGATCATCGTGATTGTCCTGGTACACATTATTGCCAACTCGATTCGACTGGTTTGCGAGGTCAATGTTGTTTGGCTATTGCTTAAATTACAAAAATTTTTTAAAAATTTTAATATATTCAAAAATAAATTATCTCTTTCATAATAAATAATATCAATCTTTACTATTTATTCTAGATTCATCTATTATTGTCATATATAAGAATAAGTTTAGAAAAAAAAATTTACAAAATCTTAATAACTTTCAGTTGTTGGTGATGATGTTGACCAACAATGATGCATATGTTTTGAAAATGTTCAAGATAAACACGTTGTTGTTCGATAAATCTGTTATCTTATTTTGTATTAGATGTAGATTCTGAAGCGTAGTATTCCATTTCAATGCTGCTACCAATGCTATCATACCTTAATCGCCGATTTCATTATCATTCAAATCAATATATACCAAAGAGTGATTGACTTCCAGCATATTAGCTAGCGGTTTGACACCGACATCAGATAACTATTTATCTCATAGATCCAATTCTTTCAGAGTTTTATTGCATTTTAGCGCAGAAGCTAAACGAGCGACAACATCATCGCCCAGTTGGTTCTCTTTCAGGCGAAGATCTTGTAATGTCGAGTTTGATTGATGTGTATTGCTCAGACTTGCTGTACCAACTATTCAGACATTGTTCTCTGCCAAACCCAGCGTTGATCAGGAAGTGTCCCTTAATATTTCGTTAGCAATCAGATGAACATCTTCATCATTCAGTTGTCTCTCACAAAATTCGGCAAATTCAAGAGTAGGTTTTTGCTGAATTAACATTTCTAGTTTTTGATTATGAAAAGTATGCATGAGTCTGTTAATGGTTGTTGAAATGTTGTCATTGCTGATTGAGATGATTCTGCCGATACTGTATGCGAAGAAACAGATTTAAATGATGTTTTATTGTTGAACTTATGGCTGATGTCTATGATGACTGATCTAGATGAAGTCGTAGAATGGCTTAATAGTAGTTGAAGAAGAGAAAATGAGGGTTTTGTTTCTTTTAAATGTATAGTATAAAGATCAAGTGAAGAATTGATCTTGTCAAGTACTTGAAATTGGGTGGCGGATAGGAGAAGAATTTCATTCTTTCGTGGGAGATAGGAATGCTGATGAATTTCTTTGCTCGATTTGCATTCGATATTGAATAAAATGCTCATATCCGTATTACCTAAAAACTTTTCTGATTTGAACACCGTGAGCGATTCTGTGCACGAACTAGACAAACGAAATGTTGATATCCATCAAAAGATAAGAATAAAACTACCTGAATCCCTACCAAACAAATATTTTTCCAATTGGATATTGCGAACTAAGATCAGTTTTAATACCACGCCATACTGTTTTTCTAACCGATTGAAGTTTCCACAATACGGATAAAATCAATTTCAGGGTCTGATAGGTGTGGGTGTAGATGTGGATCGACAACGTGAGACTTACATCCACACCCACACCCTGTTATTGTTTCCATATATTGTTTTATTTACTTAATTTTGATCGAATATATTATCATCAACCCATAAAACAGATCATTTACTAAGACTTCATTCAACTTGTCTCATATAAATGGTATGCTGCACAGCATGAAAACCGATATCATATTTCCATACAGATAATGTTCGATGAGATGAAAATAAAAAGTTAATCTTCTTCATATTTTGAAAATTGTTTTTTTTTGGACAACCCGTTAATGAATAAATTTAGAAATAACTATTACGATGAGCAAGATCGAAGTAAGTAGCAGCTTTTTTTTTTATTTTTCTTTTTGCATTACTAAATTGAATCCATATGATTAAACAACCAGGCATATATAACTGTAATTTTCTATCAGTTAGTGTACGAGCACGTGTAACATAACCTCAATAATAAAGAATATATGAAAGAGTTTTGACTAAATCAAAGAGTACGACAGTAGCTTCGTTCATTTCATCTTGTGTTGCTGCTTCATTGATAAATCTCTTTTAGTAAAATAAGGTGTTAATAATGCAATTCGTCGTTTCATGTTCAACCATTATATTATTAAAGATCAACTCCATCTTTTGTTTCATAGAAACGATAAACTTGTTTTAATTTTTGATGAGATGATTTTCTTCTCATCATTTCAAATAAAAAAGAATTAAAATAATCT